TATTTTGGGTTCCCTTTAACGTGCCCTCTTTTTAATTACTCGGTAACTTATGGCAAATTATGCCCTGGACCCGTGTCCATAATGAATTGTGGACACGGATCCAAAACGACGTCGTTTTTAAAAAAAAAAAAACGCGTCAGTTAATTAAAAAAAAAATTTTTGCGCTCGCGTTTTGCCGTTAATGGCATTATTTTTTTTTGGATTATGAATGTACAGTTATGCCGTTATGAATATACAGTTATGCCGTTATGAAATTATGAACGCAGAGCTCTAACATTATGAACTTACAATTATGAACATATATAGTGATAAAATTATGGCCATGGAGCTTTAAAATTGTGAATATAGAGCTTCGAAGATTATGAATGTACAGTTATGGAGTTATGAATGTACAGTTATAGAGTTATGAATGTACAGTTATGGAGTTATGAATCTACAGTTATGAGATTATGAATCTACAGTTATGGAATTATGAATGTACAGTTATTGATCGAATTATGAACAAAGAGCTCTAACATTACGAACTTACAATTATGAACATATAGTTATAAAATTATGAACATAGAGCTCTAAAATTGTGAACATAGAGCTTCGAAAATTATGAATGTACAATTATGGAGTTATGAATGTACAGTTATGGAGTTATGAATGTACAGTTATAGAGTTATGAACGTACAGTTATGGAGTTATGAATGTACAGTTATTAACATATAGTAATAAAATTATGAACATATACTTCTATAACGAAGCGGTCTGAAATTTAAAAAAAAATAAATAAATAAAAAAAATTAAAAAAAAAAGAGATAACAGTGCCTAACGGCACTGTTACCCGTGTCCAGCAAGCATGCTGGACACGGGTCCAACGCATAATGATTGGTAACTTATTGAATCGTTTCTGGCAAATTATTGTGTGGACCATGATCCACACAATGTTATGTGAATCATAATAAAAAGTACATTTTTAATATACTAAATGTACATTATTTTTGTACTGAATGTACATTATACAATATAATGTACACTCGAACAAAAATAATATATATCCCCGGAATACAATGTATATTATTTTTTTACTGAATGTACATTATTTTTGTACTAAATGTACATTATTTTACTGTAAACAAAATATGATCCACACAACTTGTGTGAACCATAGTCCACACAATAATGATTGTAGACCAAATCAAACTATAAATATGTGTGTATAAGTATGTGTGTACATGGCAAATTATGCCGTGCATCCGTGTGCACCATGCATGGTGCATACGGATGCAAAAACGATGTCGTTTTATTAAAAACGCGTGTCCCACTTAAAAAAAATCCAGTTTCGATTCCCAGCAATAACATTATATTGTGCATAATTTGAACTATATATCCAGAATCAATGAACTAAAAATTCAGAATCAATAAACTAAAAATACAGAATCTATGAACTAAAAATACAGAATGAATGAACTAAAAATATAGGATGAATGAACTAAAAATTCATAATGAATGAACTAAATATCCAGCATGAATGAAAAAAAAAAAATCAGTTTTGATTTACGTCTAAATATCCAGAATCAATGAACTAAAAATCCAGAACCAATGAACTAAAAATCCATAATCAATGAACTAAAAATCCAGAATCAATGAACGAACTAAAAATCCAAAATCAATGAACTAAAACTCCAGAATCTATGAACTAAAAATCCAGAATGAATAAACAACATAATGCTGTTGAGGGGAATCGAAACTGAAATTTTTTTTAAGTGGGACGCACGTTTTTAGTAAAAACGACATCGTTTTTGCATCCGTATGCACCATGCATGGTGCACACGGATGCACAACATAAAGATCTGTGTGTACATTGGGTTGGCATACTGAGCCCATATAAGAAATGATCAATCATTATTGTGTGGATCATGGTCCACACAAGTTGTGTGGATCGTATAATAATAGTGAGTGATTAGCAAATTTAAATATGCACCATGGTGCATGTAGCAATGTGGTCCATAAAGTAAGTATTTAATTACACCTCAGTTTCATTGGACAATACTTCTCTGTTTTTCAGTTTCATTTTCCACACACATTAGTTTCATTATAGCAATACTAAAATATCATTTTAATTCTATCACAGTTTTATTCGACAATATACATTATTGCATGAATTCTAATTTGTAGTTTCATTTTCCACACACACTAGTTTAATTATAGTAATATTAAAGTACTATTTTAATTACACTCTTGGTTCATTTGACAATATAATATATGTTAGTGTATGACTTTGAATTTTAGTTTCATTTCCATACAAACTAGTTTGAATATAACAACACTAAAGTATCATTTTAATTATACTACAGTTTCATTTGACAATATACGTTGTTAAATGAGCTCTGTTTTTTAGTTTTATTTTCCACATATACTAGTTTCATTATAGCAACATTGGAGTATCATTTTAATTTTACTACAGGTTCATTTGACGACCATGGTCCACTATATAACAACTGTGAGTGAATAACAACTCATTGAGTTGTTATACCATGGACCAGGTCCATGTTGCAAGGTATACCCTGGTCCTAAACAACGTATACATTGTGCATTTTTAGTATTGAAATTGTGAACTTCTATAATATAAATTGTGTTTCTAAGTCAAAACACATAACAGTTGTAAAGGGAAATTTGCGAGTACAATACATGGTCATCAAATCCTAATATGTTAATATTGTGTAATTGCAGTACTTGAAAGGAACTTGTGAATACAAAACAAGGTAATCAATTACGTATATGTTAAATTGTTAACACTGTGTATTCATAATATACAAATTGTAAATTTTTAAAAGATAAATTGTGAACATACTTGGGTCAACCTTACAAGGTAAACACATGTCCACAAATAATTTGCACAACTCAGTGGTGCCAACTATTTCGAGGGCTCTTTGTCTATTCTCTTATGAGAGGATTATTGTGGCGTTGCTCGTATAAAACAAATTTGAAAAAGTCACAAAAATCAACATGACTTAGACGACACCCTTTAGAGCAATAAGATTAGAGTAAAAGCAGCGTGATTAGAGTGTCCAGCCACACAACTCGATCTCGTCAAATATGCATCTCACAAGTTAAATTTTTTTAGACTAAAATGGAAGACTGTTCTAATTGCAGTCCATCTAATCAACATTCTAATAATTTTCTAGACTCTAACAACTCTCTCAAAAACATCTTTAGAAGCGTAGAAAGAATAATTAGCTTTGATTTTTAAACTCAAAATAAGTATTGAAAATTGAAAGGGAAGGAAAATAATGACATATTTGAAGGGGGATTGAGATGTAAGTTGTAACATCATTGTTACCAACTAGCTTCACTAAAGACATTCTAACAACACACTCTTAAACAGTATTATATAATACATATGCCAATCACACCATGCTTTGAAAGTTGAAACAACCTTAATTAATTCTTAACAAGCAATGTGTCTCTCTACGATGAAATTCATACTGGTCCGGATGGCCAGCTCAGTTGGTCACAAGGGTGAAGTTTGAAAATTAATAATGATTTGGTATCGAGTTTCACCAACTGCAGTGGGGGGCGCCGCTAAACATGATTTATATCTTCTTAGATGTTCTGTCGAGCCGAGGCGTGGGGGCCCTTAGAGTTGGAGATGTATTCAATCTTTTGGAAACAACAACAATAAAATTACTAATTACTTATACTTAACATTAAATCAAATTAAATATATCACACTAGCTATAGGTATTACCAAAACGTAAAGCTTTTACAATATACAGGGGGTGTAAAATGTTTTTTTTTTTTTTTTTTAAATTCCATTACACTATATACTTGACATTATTACACTCTCAACTAATAAATCATATAATACAATTTCTTACACTTTACATATAGCAGAATAAAAAATCTCAAAAAAAATTCTTATTAAATGTATTCTCATTTTTTATTCCATTTTTTACACTGCTGACATAACATGCTCTAATTAATTTAGAAAAATAACTAGGACAACATTTTTGTTCGTTTATTTTTCCCTTGCAGCGGAATTTTACTTTATAATAGTGAAGATAGCTTGAAAAGTATTACATTTTAACTAAAAATTACACACCAATCCCAAAAGTTAATTGTTATACCATGGACTAGAGTCCAACTTGCATTATGAATTTTTGTCAAAAAACTGTCTGTAGTTAACAAATTATGTGTTTTTCGTTAATAAATTATATACTTGTAAATAAATTGAAACAACATAATTTGTTAACTTTAAGCACATAATATGTTAAATTCAGATATATAAGTTGCATGATCTTATGCTTGCACCATGTGAATGCCAGTAAAGATAAATTATTAACTTATTTTGGATTGATTAAGTAATCAAACTATGTCGGAAGACTAAGTGTATTGTAGATTTCATATGAGAGTCTCATGCAAAAATCATAGTAACCTACTAAATCGCACAGATAATTTAGTTGGTTCTTGGGGAATAGAATATGAACAAGGACACATGATTTTGATTAAGTCTTATTAGTAGTAGTACGTGTGAGAGTTTAACTCAACGGGGTGATTCTTTGTAAGCAACAGACACTCGTCTTCCCTGGCCATGACTTACCACTGTATTGTTGAAAAAATAGCATGAAAATGACATTATAAGTGGTTATTTTGTGGTACAAATATATATGGGGTCCACTTCTGATTTTGGTCGAGTCAAAGTGAATTCAAATTATTCGTAGTGAGACGAAGAGATTGATATATTGTACGTTCAAAACGGATAATGGGTAAATGAGAAATTTATTCTCAAAATAGACCCATTTGAATTGGAAAAGGAAGATGGTAAGGCTTTAAAGTAACATCTGTCCCACATTAGTTTGGAAAGTAAATTTGCACTACTATATATACAAAGAGTCTTTAAATATATATTAAATTGTATAACATAGAAGTTTTTTCTGGTATTACACTCATATCGACCCAATAAATTTTCCCCACTCAATCATACCTCATATTTAAATTTTACTTTTTATGGACAAAGTAGCAACCTACTAGCATTGCCAGGCTCAATAAATTTGAAAGAAGTGAACCACTCCGCAGTCCGCAGTCCGCAGTCCGCAGCCTTAGCCTTATTTGGCGAGCTGAAAACCTGCTTCGAAGACTCCAACATTCGGGAAATCCATGCAAATCACATAAACGTACGTACAGCAAAAGAGTTCAGAGGAAGATCGTGAGTCGTGACAGTGTTTCTGGGTTTTGCACATTTTGCTGTAAGTTAAAGGTTTCAGGTTTGGGAACAACAACAATGGCGGCGGCGGGGACGTCGAGGTGGATGGAGCTCCATATGGCGAAGAAATGGAGAGATAAAGACATCAGCCCGGAGCGAACCAAAGTCTGGACCCAACCGCCGGAGCGCAGAGTCGCCGTCGTCTACTACCTCTCTTTAAACGGAAAACTTCAACATCCTCATTTCATGGAACTCCGTCTTTCATCCCCTCGAGGTCTCTTTCTCAGAGGTAAATTAAATGTAAAATGAAGTTTGGGATTTTTGGGAATTAATGAAATATGATTCTTTCTTGTTTTTCTATATATTCTCAGATGTGCTTGACCGCTTGAATTCCCTCCGAGGAGAAGGCATGGCTTCTCTGTATTCTTGGTCTGCGAAAAGGTAGAAATTTTCCATTGATTTTCTCTTCGGATTATTGTTTTTCTGTTGGTTCATTGAAAATTGAATAAATTTTAGGAAGTATAAGAACGGTTTTGTATGGCAAGATTTGGAGGAGAATGATTTTATATACCCAGCACATGGCCATGAGTATATTCTCAAGGGATCAGAGCTCATCATCACCCATTCATCATCTCAAGAAACGCCGGCATTGACAGCCGCCGGTGAAGATCGCGAGTTTCCGCCGCTGCCGCCGCCGAGGCATAACGTGCACGCCGTTGAAGAGGATAAGGAATCGGGTCGGAGTGGGAGTTCAGAGCCGAGCAACGGCGAGATTTCAACGCCGCCGGCCGGTTCTAGCCCGGAGACACTAGCGGCGTTGATGAAGGCCGACCGGAGGAGGGTCATCTTAATGAACGAAGCTCGAAAGGCAGCTGCATATTATGATCCCTCTGCTGCAAGGCCCAGAACCGCATCGGTTGTGATGCAAATCCTGTCGTGTGGCTCGGTGGCAGCCCGGGAACACGCGCCGCCGTGCAAGGCAAAGACCCATGCATTTTCTCTCATCTCTCATCACAAGATGGCAACGTTGCTGCCATGCGGAACACGCCGGAATAATCCACCAGACGTTGCAGAGAATGCTGTCATGGAGCTTCCATTGATTACTAGTGTTTACACGAGTCTGTAATTTCTAAACACCTATCATCCTGGGGTACATATGAGTCATATTCAGCAAAAATAGTGTCAGGTACTGTTGGCCCAACACATTTATGTAAAAAAAATTCGTATAATATATGTTATATATCAAAGCCCTTAATTAGATGTTATTAATTAGTTGATCATATATATATAGCGTTAAAGTTACTTTACTCATATTCCTTAAAATAATATCAATACACCATCCAAAGTTCTGAGTAAGTATGGAACAAAACCGTTAACACTGTCTACTGTTCAAGAGGACACAACTGAGAGGACATCAAATATATTACTACCACTTCTACTATTACAAGGTTAGGTTTCTAGTAATTAAGACTTTGTTGAATCAACATTAGACTACATCGATATCTAACAAGTTCTACCAGATACAATTTGGTATTTACTGTCCAAACTTGAATTACCTCTGCCAAACTGAGTTTCATGTTTCATGTTTCATGTTTCATGCCGTAGCCTCGTTGTTCACGAACAACATGAATCTGTTGTTCCACTGTTGCTTAACAGAATCTGGGACTGGTGTTTCAGCAAGAAATGGGTTCCATGCATTGCCTCTGGGACTAGCAAGAACCCATTTGATTTTCGATGGCGGGGCGACGAATGGCGAAGCCTGCTTTTTTACTTCTCCAGGTATGTTTCTCTTTGATGCAGCAGTGTTCTGAGTAATTAAACAGGAAATGAAAACACAGCATTTTGTAAACAATAATGAACTTTTTGTCCTCACCTTTGAATAATGTTGTTGGTTTGGTTTGAAGTTGTTGGACAAGAGTCTGTTCTGATTCAACACTTGGTGGGATTCAGACAATAATGGGATATGATGATGCTCTCCAAATTCTGCCAAATGTTTCTCAACCTCTATGATGGATCGAAATTTCTGGCCTGTTCCTGGTTCATAGTAATACTACATGCCAAAAACAATTACACAACCATTCATTGGCCTAAGGAACTTGAACAGTTAAGAAAAATGCAGAATAACAGCATGGTTAGTTGATGATAATTATTTAAGCATTTCTTGATCTAAAGTGGATATGACAGTTTTGAAGTTAAATGAAAACTGATCCTCTGCCACCATGAATACTCGTCCAAAACTCATATATTTTGATATACGCTGCAGATGCTACCCTAAAGTAGCATTCAAAACCTTAACTAGAATCACAAAAAAATTAAACTAGTTTAAGTTGTTCATATATAGTCAGCTGACTCAAATCAAGAGTCAAAATTCATATACTTTTTTAAAGTAAGAAAATCTAAAAAGATTCCAAAAATTCGAATCTCAAAGTGACAACTCATACTAATTTTCCAACCCGAAAATATTCACCATTTTAGAAGTAGTGAGAGTTTTTTTATTTGAGCTGATCAGCTATGGACAACCTAAACTGATTTATCTCTTTATGATCTTTTGTCGAATAGGAACATAAGACACAGTTTATTGTGCATTTTAGAATAGCAGTTGTGAGTTTCCCTAAGGTAAAGAGGGGATACCTTATCAACTGAGCTTCCATCTCTACGGGGTACCTCCTCCACAATCCAACCATCAGGAAGCTGATACCTTGATGAGGTGGCTGTATTTGCAGAAGGCACAACTGCCCAATGCTCCATATTCAAATCACCTTCATCCACACGCAAAAGCTGCATTTTCATAATAAGATCAATATAATGCTCCTACTAGCTCATGATTCAAAGTTTTTTTTTTTTCTTTGAAGCCCATTGTTAAGGCTGCTCATCATCACCATCAGGTCTCATACTCTCATCTGTTTTAGGAAAAGTAATTAAAAGTATAATTTGTACCTTCCCACCAGAAACCGTCATCTTCCTTGACAAAGGATTAGTACTCTGCAGATGAAGGAAGAAATTAAATATTTACACTTGGAAAGAGTTTGGGTGTCTGAAATTTCTTTAGATGATTACTCACAGTGAATTCCCTGGATCTAGGAGTGTATTCTCCTCCATTAAGGTGCCTCTCAACTTCTCTTAAAGACCTGAACTTTCTTCCAGTCCCAGGCTCAAAGTAATACTGCAAAATTGAGAATTTGGCGGAAAGTTGAGACGATTAAGATAGAACAAGAACAGAGAATGGGTTAAAACAGAACAGAACAGAAAAGAGAAAGAAGATATGGACCCGGTCGACATTGGAGGCGGTTGAACGAGGGACTTCTTGGATACCCCACCCGGTGGGGAGCATGAACCGGCCGGAGGGAAAGGAGGAGGGCGGGGAGTGTCGGCGGCGGAAGTGAGGCGGTGGGGTTTGCAGAGGCACCGACATTGAGTTTGGCAGTGCGAGGGCGGTGGAGGAGTTGCTGCTCTCCATGGCTTGGTGGCTAGGCAGGCTAGCGGGGTGGCACTCTATAAGGAAAGAAAGAACGTGGAACGCGTGGCCGATTGGCCGCGGTGTTTTTACTCAGGCGACTTTTGTAATAGCCACGTCACATTTTTCCGTGAGAAAAATCATGAGAAGGGATATCTCAGGTAAATTCTTTCATTTACTAATAATTGTTAGTTTCTCGTTCCGAAATAGTCACTTGACAGGTCAACCTAACCATTCAATGAGAAATAAAATGTAAAAAAATAAATAGAAACAAGAATTTTAACGTGCAAATTCAAAGGTAAAAGTCATGGACCTTTTTAGCAGTTCTAAACTAGAAATTCACTATTTTATAGATATTTTTGTATACTATAGTGTCTTCTCTTGATGGATGTCGGTTGAGCTCTCCTGTTCTCGTTCCTAATTCCTTCTTTTATAGTAGAAGTGAGAGTAATGCAGATGGTGAGTAGTTAGGCTCCCTACAATAATGGGGTATTTAATGGGTTTTATCAAAAATTAAATGTATATTTATGACTAATTAATTGCAGCTTATGAAAGGATAATTAGGGAGCCGACTGGTCATGTCCTGAGTGCTGACTGCCGAGTCCGAAGCCCGAATGCCTGCTTGGTGATACCGACCGGGTAGACATGTTGGGTATCTATCATCAGTCCCTTACTTTACTGTGTCTCGTGAAGCATGATGTAGGAAAGTACATTGTCGTGTCTCAAAATCAATTCAGCACAACCACAGTTGAATTCTGGATCAAAATTTTTTGACTCATTTTACAAGGAGGCGCAGTTGACTGAACACCGACTCCTTTTACCGGCCTCCAGCCAACACTAACACCAGTATTTTTCCCGACTCCTTTTACAAGGAAGAGCGGTTGACTGAGTGTCAACTCCTTTTACAGCCTCTAGCCAACTCTAAAACCACCATTTTTTTCCCGACTCCTTTTACCTGCTATATTTCTATGGCCGACTGCTGAAACTAACTACCTGCAAACTTTGAGACATTAATTAAAGAAATGGCATCTGTGCGAGATGCGTCCGTCGAAGGGGTTTGGACCGAACCAATTAGTAAAATATCTATCCTAAGTTAGCTGACCCCTCCAACTTCTATGAGACAGTCTCTCAACATCTTACTTCATGTTCTCAAACCTGCACGGATTCAAAAAAGACTAGTAAAAATCAGCCAACCGCCTCGCGTCCGAGGGCTGACTAACTACTCAATTTTACCGTGTTCAAGCTCAATCGTACCATTTAAAGAGCTGGTATACCACTCATGCTCAACTGAACCATTTGTTAGACTGGCCGATACCCAAATTTTTGGATCACTCTTTTTTTTTTTTGGATATTTATCAAGAGTACTCAATAGTAATACATCTCAAAATAGTAAACCACCAAGCTTTGGATTTTTGCTACTATCCTTGTTGCTCTATAGTAATCTATCAGAAATTATCTAATAGTAACGCCATGAGGGAGGTACTCCAGTACTGATAACTTGTGCTTGTAATCACATAATCCACGTGACAATTAATAAATACGTTGCTATTAAAACAGAGTTTAGATCACCAACCTCCAGCCATAGCTTTAGATCTTGATCACCAGGGACTCGTGGTCTGATGAACAGAAGTTCCTCGGGCTGCTGTAAAATCTCCGTAGGTTTTAGTTGTGTTTCTCTCACTTCTCTCAATGACTTTAGATGGTGTATGATACGTCAACCGAGCAGTGAGAGGACTTGGGAGTCTAAATAACCTACATCCCATCAATGTAGGTAACTAATTACCTAATGCTGACTAAGTTCTAATACTTAGTCAGCCTATTGATTTGCACCACTTAAATATTATTGTTATTATATAATAAACTTAATAATAATAATAATAATAATAATAATAATAATAATAATAATAATAATAATAATACACAAGGAAAACGTTACATTCTCCCACTTGGTGCAAATACGGAACCCAAGAACAAGATTTACACCAACCATAATGACATGTCCTCCTTAGCGCAAGTAATATCCATTATGATCAAATGCAAACTGTCCTTGAGTCCTTTAGGTAATCAAACTTAATGAAACAAACAATATGTTCATTTCAAGTCCACTGAAGTATATTTTCTTATTGAGATAAACTGAATTGTGTACACACTCAAAGAAAATATCTGAAGTATGTGAAGAAAAAAAACTTAAGTGCAAAAGAATTTCATTATTAAACTGAATGTATATACAAAATTACAAAGTGGACTAAAGTCCCATTTTCTGAATCAGATCCTTGAATTTAGACGGAGGCATGCCTTTAGTCAAGGGATCTGCTAGCATCAACTCAGTATTAATGTGTTCAATGAATACAACTTTATTCTTGACACGCTCCCTAATGGCTAAGAACTTGATGTCGATGTGTTTACTTCGACTCCCACATTTTTCGTTCTTAGTTAGGAAGACTGCAGCTAAGTTGTCACAGTAAACTTTCAGTGGCTTAGATATAGAATTCATAATTCTAAGCCCGGAGATGAAATTCTTGAGCCACACACCTTGCGAAGTAGCCTCGAAACAGGACACGAACTCGGCTTCCATGGTAGAAGTAGTTATTAAGGATTGTTTAACACTTCTCCATGAAATTGCCCCACCAGCCAATATGAAGACGTACCCGGAAGTCGATCTCCGAGAATCAACACAGCCAGCAAAGTCCGCATCAGAATAACCAACAACATCCAGGATGTCCGTCTGCCTAAAACCCAACTTGAAATCTTTAGTACCTTTGAGATACCTCAGAACTCTCTTCACAGCTCCCCAGTGGTCTAAGCCTGGATTATGCAAGTACCGCCCTAACATACCAACGGCAAAGGCAATGTTGGGCCTTGTACAAACTTGAATATAGCCGAGACATCCAACCGCTTCAGCATATGGAACATCCTTCATACGCTCCGTCTCCAACTCGTTCTTAGGACATTGGTCCAAACTAAACTTATCCCCTTTTGCAATGGGAGCAACATTCGGTAAACAGTTTTTCATCCGAAACCTTTCCAAAACTTTGTTAATATAGGTTTCCTGCGATAGACCCAGTATGCCCCGGGACCTATCCCTATGAATCTTTATGCCAATGACATAAGATGCTTCACCCATATCTTTCATATCAAAGTTTTTGGAAAGGAACTGTTTCACGTCACGAAGCATCCCCACCTCATTAGTGGCGAGTAGGATATCATCCACATATAAAACAAGGTAACAGATTTTACTCCGACTAACTTTCTGGTATATACAAGGATCTAAGGGACCTTCAACAAAACCAAATGATGAAATGACCCCGTCAAACTTAATATACCACTGACGGGAGGCTTGTTTTAAACCGTATATGGACTTCCTAAGCCTACACACCAAATCCTCACCACCTCTAGAAGAGAAACCTTCAGGTTGTTTCATATAAACTTCCTCTTCTAGATCACCATTTAGAAACGCGGTTTTCACATCCATTTGTTGCAACTCAAGATTAAAGTGTGCAACCAAAGCCAGAATGATTCGAAGAGAATCTTTCTTTGATACAGGAGAAAAGGTCTCCTTGTAATCAATTCCTTCTTTTTGAGTGAATCCCTTAGCAACGAGTCTGGCCTTGTACCTCTCAATGTTACCTAATGAGTCTCTTTTGGTTTTAAATACCCATTTACAGCCAATCGGCTTGGCCCCATTAGGTAACTCAACAAGGTTCCAAACTCCATTACTCTTCATGGAATTCATTTCATCTTTCATGGCTTCTAACCACAAATCGGACTGTGCACTACTCGTAGCTTGTGAGAACGTTATGGGATCATTTTCAGCTCCAATGTCAGATTCTTGTAGATACGATACATAATAGCTAGGAACTGCTAAACGCTTTAGCCGAGTAGACCGTCTTAATGTTGGAACACCAGTACCTTGTGAAGGTTGTGGCGCAACTACCTCTTCAGGAACTGGATGTAGTTCTTGGATTGGTTCAATTTCGGTCTGTGTAGGTTCAGGATCTTGCTGAAAATCCTGAATTGGTTCAACCATTGGCTCAAATTCTAGTTCAGGAGGTTGCTGTAAGTCCTGAACTTGTTCTTCCAATGGTTGAGTTTCAACAGCTTGTGGAATCTCAACAATGGGTTGCACAACCGCAGGCGGGACTGAAGGCGCATTGCGTATAAGTACAACTCCGTTAGATGACGTTGAAGGGCAAGAGTCAACATGATCAAATAAAGGAACTAAGTCCTTAAATCGATCTCTCCCACTGATCAAGTCATCTTCAAGAAACTTAGCATTTCTTGATTCCACTATCCTAGTCGTACGTTTTGGACAATAAAACCTATAACCCTTAGAAGACTGTGCATACCCAATAAAGAAAGCACTTATCGTCCTCGGGTCAAGTTTCTTTTCATGTGGGTTATAAATCCTCACCTCAGACGGACAACCCCAAACACGCATATGATGCAAACTCGGTTTCCAACCTTTGAAAAGCTCAAAAGGTGTCTTGGGGACAGCCTTGGTCGGAACCCGGTTTAATATATACGTTGCCGTCTTGAGAGCATCGGCCCACAATGATTTTGGAAGTGTGGAGTTGCTCAGCATACTCCGCACCATGTCCAAAAGAGTCCGATTCCTTCTTTCAGCAACACCATTTTGATCCGGGGAACCCGGCATGGTGTATTGGGCAACAATCCCATGCTCTTGAAGGAATTCAGCAAACGGACCCAAAGCTTGTCCATTTTCTGTGTATCTACCATAATATTCACCACCTCTGTCTGACCTAACTATTTGTATTTTCTTCTTGCATTGGTTTTCAACTTCAGCCTTAAAGGTTTTAAAGGCATCCAATGCTTCATACTTATGATGAAGTAAATACACATAGGTAAATCTAGAGAAGTCATCTATAAAGGTAATGAAATATTTCTGACCCTGCATATCCATATCTGGACAGCATATGTCAGTATGAATTATCTCTAATAATGTTGAACTTCTATTGGCACCTTTCTTCGACTTGTTAGTCTGCTTGCCTTTAATGCAGTCTATACAAGTCTCAAAGTCAGTATAGTCTAGAGTAGAAAGTACTCCATCCTTTACCAACCTTTTAATGCAATCAAGGGAGATGTGTCCCAATCTCCGGTGCCACAACATTGAAGATTTATCGTTAACACTACACCGTTTGGTGCCAGTTTGAACATGTAAGGAATCATAACTTGCATCGTTTTGTAAGTGAAGACGATAAAGACCATCAGACAGTGTACCATTTCCAATACAAGTAGAATTATCAAATAATTTAAAATACTTGTCTGAAAAATTAAAACTGAATCCAAACGGTACAAGTCTTGAGACGGAAACCAAATTTCGTGAAAAAGTTGGTACGTAAAATGTCCTCTCTAAATTCAAAACGAAACCACTGTCTAAAATCAGCCTGCAAGTCCCTACAGCTTCAACCGGCGAGCCCATCTTATTTCCGGAGAAGATGTTTCGCTCATTTGACATCGGTTGTCTCAGTTTTTGCATATCCTGTAAAGAATTTGCAATGTGGATTGTTGAACCAGAATCAATCCACCAAGTGTTAGCATTAACATCTGACATATTGGATTCAAAACAGACAAAGGAAGATATCATACCTTTCTCAGACATCCACTTCTTAAACTTTGCACAGTCCTTCTTCATATGCCCCTTCTTCTTACAGAAGAAGCATTTCTGTGCTTTCTTAATGTCAGTCTGAGGGGATAATTTTGCTTTCCCTTTAGCTGCAGTGTGGCGCTTGCCAGATCTCCCTTTATGCTTTGCTATTGCAAGCATGACACTCCCCCCCTTTTGTTCCTGACGTAGTCTCCCTTCTTCTTGCACACACTTATTAATTAGATCATTAATAGTCCATTTCTTGTCATGTGTGTTATAAGCAATTTTGAAGGTGCTATACTCAGGAGGGAGAGTGTTTAGTGCAAAATGCACCACAAATGAGTCTGGCAGCTTGATCTCCAACTTGTCAAGTTGAGCTGCAATATCACTAAGTTGCATGATGTAACTGCGCACACCATCGGCAGG